TTAAATAGAAACTTACACTTATTGTACAAATATTTTACATAAATTGTTTAAATTTTATAAATTTTATTTCTGTTATTTTTATTTTGAAAATGTCAAATTATTATTAAAAATTTGATTCGATTGAGACAAAAGTATTTAGTGTTGCTGTATCCGAATATTACAATTGTCTACAAAACATTGATGGTTACAGTAACTGAAATATACTCATAACAGATATTTTGATTGTAGTAATCGAAATGTTAGTTATTAAAACATATCTTTTTAAAATCAAGTTGATTGTCTCTACTGATTTATCCAAGTAGTATAACAACAGCACATATTGATTGAGAACACTTTCTTGAATATTACTGGAACTGTAATTCTTTTATAGATATGAATTTTTAATTGTAAATATAGAAATTCGTTTATATTTATAATTTTTTAATAATCGCAATGGAAATTCGGAACATATTACTAATTTACTGTATTAGTAACCAATTTCCAACTTTTCTTTTTTCTGTGTGTATCTATCTATCTATCTATCTATCTATCTATCTATCTATCTATCTATCTATCTATCTATCTATCTATCTATCTATCTATCTATCTATCTATCTATCTATCTATCTATCTATCTATCTATCTATCTATCTATCTATCTATCTATCTATCTATCTATCTATCTATCTATCTATCTATCTATCTATCTATCTATCTATCTATCTATCTATCTATCTATCTATCTATCTATCTATCTATCTATCTATCTATCTATCTATCTATCTATCTATCTATCTATCTATCTATCTATCTATCTATCTATCTATCTATCTATCTATCTATCTATCTATCTATCTATCTATCTATCTATCTATCTATCTATCTATCTATATATCTATCTATTCATTCCTTTTAATTTCTGTCCACGCACGCACTTCTCAAGTAGGAATTACCGATAAAGAAACAAGTTGATACAAAGAATAAAAAAATAAATGGAACAGCAGCAATAAAAAAAACTTCCTTGACAAATTGTTCAGGCGTCCTTCCGTCGAACAAGAGTCAGTTAGTCAGTGAAAACAAACTGTCAGTGAGAGTAAATTTATAAAATTATGATTAAATGAGGGTGGGGGTGTTTCGCTGTAGTGTGGTTATAAGGTCGTTTGTATGTGTTAAAAGGCGTTATTTTTTATTAAGAAAATATGGATAAAAATCTAAAGGATTTACATGTAATTTAAATTTTTCCTTTTTGTACCCCACTAAAACCCTCTCACACCCAACAAAAAAAAAAACTGATTGACTTTTTCTTTAATCTTGAGAAACATTTTAAAAACAAATGCTACTGATGACGCAGGCAGGGGTAGGTTTAAGAAGCAAAAAGCTCAAGGATGTCAGAAAGCCATGTCTTACACGGGGATTTCAATAGCAGCAAACGGAAGACAATCAAGATTGTAAAACACACAACACATGTTAGAAGGAAGTTAAATGTAAATTTTGAGTTTAAAAAAACCAACTTACTTGAAAGTAAATGTAAAATGTTTCATGGAATTTGTTTTGGTTTCATTGAATTTGTTGGTATTTGTTACAATTTCTTTAATAGAAAAGTATTTTTAGCTGTTGTTACACTTTAGCTTAACAACTCTATTATTATTTTCTTTTAATTCTAATGACAAGGAATCGTATTTACATGACACGTGATTTACCTTAAAATTTTGTTTTTCCCCTTTTTCCTAACTTGTATATTTGTTTCGCTGTTGTGGGCCGGGCTGTTGGTGATATTTTAGCGCTTTTGTTGTACGAATTTGTGTTAGTGGCTGCTACATATTAAACGTTTGGTAATTTAACACTATAGATTTTTCTTGTGTAATACACAGTCGGTGTTGTGTAATTTTTTTCTTTGTAAAAGGTTTCCTTGTTTCTGATGGCTAATTAGAGACAAAAATGTATTTTATTGCAATATAATTAATTTCAATTGAAAATTTAAAGCAGTTTTATCTTTTCTATTTGCGTAGTAACCATGGACTTTGGAAATTTGTAGATGTTTGTCTGACTAGCATAGCTGAAGAATTTATTCAAATTTGTATATATTGACTATAGATTACTTATAGATTATGAATAGTCTGTGTACTAGACTATTAACCAGTCTATGGATACGTCTGTAGACTAGTCTATGGGTTAGTCTATTGACCAGTCAATAGACTTGCCTATTTAACAGTTTAGTCCGTTACCTACTCTATGTATGTAATAGTATGTTGACTAATTTATGGACTAGACTATGGACTCATCAATAGAAGCTTGGGGTACTGCAGTATTTTTTATACAAAAAGTACTGAAAAGAGTTTTCCAAGCTGATCCAAAGGCATTATTACCACTCAACACAATTTCAGATAATAGTGTAAACAGTATAACCATATAACACTGCCTTATCTGATATAAATATGTCTTCAAATAATTATACAATATAGATAAAATAGGCAGCACTATTAAATTTTATCAAAGTCACTATCCTATTGACAACTGCTTTAACTACAAACCTATTTAGAAATGTTTTAACAACAATTTCACACAAACAAGCAGAAAACTACACTGTTATAAGAAAGTCTTATAAACACAAAACCCGATTATTACAGTTAGTCAATGCACCAACCTTTGAAAAATTGTCTTAGCTAAACGGTTAAGATGTTATAAGTGTGGCCAGACAATTTATGTAAATGTGTTATGAATAAGGCAGATGTGGCAACACTTTAAACGGTTTAGCCAGGACAAAAGTAGGGTTGTTGCATAAGATAATAATGCTGCCATTTATTTACAATTTCATGTGCTGCCAAACTAAGGATTAGCTAAGACTCGTTGCATCTTTTAAGTCAAATATTACTCACTAGAGGTCGCGAGTTACATTGAAGAGAAGTTATGTTAGTAGAGATTCTAACCATAATAATAATGCCCCTCAAAAGTGCAGCAATTTTAAACTCTGATTAGTTTTGTTTAATAAAAAAGGAGAAATTATTTATAATAAATTTTTAAAATACATATTTAAAATAACGTTTGATGCTAATTATCATGAATAATTTAATAGAATAATTAGAAATCAATTTTATTAAATAATCATATTACTATATACATTATACATGTTTCTGATATCATTGACATAAGGTCTTGAGGATTAAACTTTGTTAAAGAATATCGGATCTACTTGTGAACAGCAAATCAAATAAAATGCTTCAAAGTTTTTTATGGGCACATGTAAATCCAAGTGCTTAACGTGAATAGAAACCTAATTTCACTCTATAGTCCCTAGATGGTCTTTTGCATCCAATGGCTGGACCAGTAACGATCAACCATTCACCCCTGAGTGACTTCAAGAAAAATACTCATGAATAAGAAATTTTCAAACTAACCAATCTCTTGCCATAATAGTGCTTATGCGAAGGAGGAAGAAGCAATCAATCAGAGAGGGTTCCTTTGAACTTCTACGATCGCCCAAGGTGCGTTACTACTTCCTCTGTCTAACCACAAAGTCGGATTAACAAGGTCAAAGATGTAATGATAATCAAGGCCGAAGTACCCCCAACTACAGATAGTGTGTTCCTTAACATGTTAAAAATGCGCAAAAATATAACAACACCTAAAAACGGATTTAGGAGACCAAAATTTTGATGTCACTAACTAAATCAGGATGCCGGAATAGAAATGGTCATATGTATAGTTAACAGAAAGACGTAAACCACATCCACAATCGCTTAGCATGACAACTGTTGTGATGACAACAGCACCGACGACTTTCCCGAAATAATAAGGCATATTTGCAGAGTACAAATCAACCCTGGCTAGGACATGATCAAGAAGAGTTTCCCAAAATTTCCCCCAAACCATATTTTTGCATAAAGATCATTCACAGAATGACAGACAACTACCAAGTGTTAATTGGACAATTTTCCTACCTTGAATCGAGGCACTTACCTACTGCAAGTGGCTGAGAGGGTGGTAATCAACCTGGTTCGATGGATTCTTCTATCCACCCAGTGACATCTGTTGAAACGTAAACATCACTGAAAAACTTATCCGGAAGTATATTGCCATTGAATACTTCAGTCATTTGCCACCACGTCTACCCCAAAGAATTCTTACCTATAACCATTAAAGGGCAAGGTGGCTTCTATTAAGATAGGTGTTCTGGTTAAATCCCGAATAAATAGAATCCCAGGAGTCAATTAACTCCACCAGTTTGTGATACCGGCTAAACCGAGGTGTTGATGGTAACTCTAGTCCCCGGGATTGCCCTAACATCAAGGTGACGGAAGATTCGGCAGCGTAACATGCCTCAGGCGGTGTTTTATAGAGCCAATTAGTTGATAGCAACCCGTTTTCTATTTTATTTATATCTGGACTTAGGAGGGCCTACCATCAGCTCCCATTGAACCTACGAATTCGAACAACTTAACTCAAAAACATCACAGAGCTGTTGTAGTGAAATTTTGATGCGATATCTCTAAAATTTTACAAGATATCGAATCATTTCTAAAATAAAACGTTTCGTTTGATTTTCGAAAAAGACCCCTTTTTAGTGCGGCTTGGGTCCGAACAAATAATTTTTGTCAAACTTTATCTTAAAAACACAATTTTTAAATGATTTATTTACCGTAAAGTGAATTTCGATCAGAGGAGATAAATGATTATATGGTGGACCCAATCTGACGAATTTTTTGAGAAATAATGGTTTTTATAAAATGTTGAATTTTATAGCTATATTGATATTTTTAATCCGGAGGCTTATAGGGGATCTAATGGAAATTGTGAAACAATATTGCAAACGGAACAACAAAATCAATCTTTTTTGATGATGGAACAACAAAAAATAATCTAAATTCTCATTAATAATTCATTCATTATATATCTCTTGATAAAAATAACAAAAATTACAATATACTTTCATTATTCTATAAACCACAGTTAGTCAACTTTGTCATATTAACCACAACACCCCCCATTTTTGAGTGTAGTTATGGTATTTGATAGAACGGCAAAATACTGTTGCCTCAGTACGTTGTCAACGGTTGTACGCGCGTGTTGTAGTCTTTTAAAAACGTCTGAAGGAATTTCGTTTAATTTTCTATATATTTTTTTATATAAAAGGGGAGCATTGCTCGGGACTTACAAGAAAAAAATTTATATAAAAATTAAATATTAAAAAGCAGTCATAAAAAAAGATTTTAATATTTAAAAAAACAAGTTATTTTCTATAAAAAAAATCTAAAGAAATGTGGTTTAAATAGCAGTAAAAGTAACAAATTATTTAAAACAAAATCCCATAAAACAACGAATTGTTATTTAATGCAGGTGAATAACTAAAGTGTTAAAATAATAAACTATATAAAATATTAAACAATTATTTTAATTTAATATACAAAAAAACTAAAAAATTTAAAATTTGTTAAAAATTATTTAAAATCCATAGAAAAATCTTTAAAAGAATCAACAATTATTTGTTGAAAAAAAAGAAAAGAAAAAAACATCCTGTGAAAATTATCCTTTTACTCAATATTTGTCTACTCTAGTTTAGAAGTTTGCTCTATATACGAAAGGATTTTTCGTATCGATTTTCCCGCCACATTGTTATACATACACAAAATTTATTTGTTGTAATTTTTGGTACTCTTCTCTACTTCTTGGCCTACTCACTACCCACTCTCTCCACTCCACTCCTTTTCCTTCTGTACAACATAAATTTCTTTGAGTTTGACGCTTAGCGCAGTATCGCTTTCATCTGTATATTGTTTTTTTTTTTTTTTTTTTTGTCTTGTTTGCCAGAATTTATTTGTTAAGCTACGTTCAGACCTGTAAAATATTTGGTCCAAATATTTGTTATAAATATTTATAAAGTTGCGTCAAACAAACGCAATATTTATTTCATGTTCAGACTTGAACAAATATTTGATGCTATTGTTTTATCAAACAGTGCAAAAATAATTTGGTTCAAACACACACATGTTTTGCAGCCACAGAATATCGTATATTTTCATAAAAGAAAAAAGCAATTTGGCAATTTGTTATAATTTTAACTATTTTTATTAGGTTTAAAATTAAATTTTTATAATAAAAGTGTATAATATTAATATATAACACGATTGAAAAAACTTTGTTTGTCGAATATGAACATAAAATGTTTCATGTTAACAAACAGCAATGCGGATGATTTTCATAAAACAAATTGATTTGCTGGCAAATAAATATTTTCTCATTGTTTCATCAATGTGAACACCAAAAGTCAAATAATTTACATCATTTTGGTAAAATAATTATTTGATCTTGCAAACCAAATGTAAGATCAAACAGCGTCAATAACAGCTGTTCTTTGTTTATTTTCTGAAAAAGAGTGTTATCACCTCATACAAAAATGTAAATAGTCGCTTATATGACTGGTTTTATTTTATTTTTTATAAAATATAAATCTGAGACAAAGTTGTGACATTTAATTGAAATTCAAGCAATTGCGTAAATTAATGATAATTATTATTTTTGTTGTTTGTTTTGTTATTTATTGGTTGGTAACAACATACTATATATAGTTATACTACATAATATATGCATCTATAGTCTAGTTTGCAGTCTAGTCCAACGGTTCCCAAATTACAATTAAATAAGAGATACTGTTATCTCGGAGTATGAAGTTAGGCCACATTTCATAATTCAAGGACAAGCTTATCGCAGATTTAAGTTTGTCAAATTGTAAACAAAAGTGTTCTTGTTTGGAAGGACTAAAATAATATATTTCCGAAACAGAGGTGACTCTTTATTCGTCTTCAATACGTTAATCCAGGTAATTTTAAATATAAATATTCCATTCCGACGTGATACACAGATTTTAACTTGATTTTGTCGACCAATATTATTAAATTAACATCAGAAAATGCATAAATAGTCAAAACCATGCAGTAAAATTCACAGTACTTTCGCAAAGAGTTCAAGTCATATATTATGCGGATAAACGCATTCCGCAACAATATCGAAGAAGTTCAACTTTCTTATATTATTTTCCCGAAAAATTAGCTAACATACTCAGATTACCCGTCTGCAATCGCAAAAAAATTTTGCAACGTGACTCTTTAAGCACATGTCGACGATATTTGATGAAGAAACCTTTTCGTTACCTTAAAGAAAAAAGAACGTGAAAGATCTCACGATCATAAAATTAAACATCATGTTAACATTTCAACAATGAAGTCATTCTATCTTCAAAAACAGCCAATTGAAACTTCTCTGAAATATTATTTATTCTCAATGTACGGGAATATTTTATAGAAATGACATATCTGTTTGACCTTGGGATTTATGGACTATGACAATTTTCGGATGAACAATTACATATTTAGAGCAATAAGATATCAAAGTATGTATGGGGGTCCGCGAATTTAAATAAATTCCTCAAGGGGTCCGCGAAGTAAAAACCGGGGGAACCGCTGGTCTAGTCTATAGTCAAGCTATAGTTTAGTCTTGTCTATACTCTAGTTTATAGTATTGTTTATAGTCTAGTCTATAGGTTATAATCTAGTCTATAGTTTAGTAATTAATTGAGAAATTATTTAATTAATTTATTACTCAATTTATTTAAACAATTATTTATTATATTAATGGATATAAAAATATATTAATAATAAACAATTCTCTATAATTTTCAATTTTATAGATATGTAATTTAATGAAAATTATTTATAATTTGGTTATTTCCGGGCTTATAGCGATTTTTTTGAAATCGCTATAAACCGTTCCAAACAACCAATGTTTTTCGCTACATTGACTATACTAAATAGCAACAACATGACAGTAAAGATCCACCATCTATCTCTTTTCCACTTGCACAAGGTATTGAAATGTAATTTCAATACATTGTGCAAGTCTATCTATCTCTTTTCCCCTTGCACAAGGTATTGAAATGTAATTTCAATACCTTATGCAAGTCTATCTATCTCTTTTCCACTTGCACAAGGTATTGAAATGTAGTTTGTGTTTTTTTGTGGTAAAATTTTGATGAAAAACAATATTAAATGAAATTTTAGAATATATAGAAGTTATTATTCAATGATATAGCTTTTTAGTAAATATAAACACATATATTTTTGGCTTTTGGTTTGGTTGCGCATTAGCTGTTCTTGTTGTTATGTTCATCTTTGCCTGCAAACAAAATCTTGTTTTTTTACTGTTTTATCCGTCAATTGTTTTTCGAAATTATTTTTTGTAATGTGAACACCGGGCAAACAAACTTTTACTATTTGTATTGAATTGTGTTTGGCTTTGTTTCTTCAAACAAAACGTCAAAATAGAAATACTCATTTTAAGCACATTATGAAATAAAAATGTATTTAATTTTTTGTTTTTAGGCAGAAATTTCTATGAAATCGTAAAAAATATTATTAAATAGTTTTTTTAACGTTTAACAAAAATGTTTCATGTTTGGTGTTCACATTGTGTTCACATTAAGAAAATATTTGTAGGTTGACAAATAAAAATGTTTCACGAAAAACAGCTGATATTTTGTTTGCTCTTCAAAAATATTTTGTGTTCACATTACAGCCAACAAATATTTGATAAAAAACGTCAAATATTTGATAGGTGTGAACGTACCTTTACTCTATTTTTTTGTGTTTGTAAGGATTTTTGTTTGCTTTTGCCCCTTATTTTCACTGTCTGGTTCGTATTTTACTACGTTTGGATTTCTTTAATATCACGAGACATATTTTTTACAGAAATTTAAAAAAAAAAAGAAATTTAATTGACAATTCTATGTCAGAAAGAGGGGTAATGGGTGGTTTATGATTCAGTTGAAAAAGTTATTTTTAAGATAAAAACTCATTGAAGTTTCTTTAAAAAATACCTAAATTTATTAAAACGAGCCCCTTTAGCTATTTTAAACAAGTTTAAGAAATTTTAAACTGTTTTGTGGATTTAAATAACAATATTTTAATGAAAATTTAGCTTTTTAATGAAATTACAGTTATTTTTAAAAAATTAATTCTTTGGGATTTATATATGAATTAGTTATATAAAGTATACTTTAAAGAGAAGGTCTTCGAACATCTTGTGTCGAAATACATATTGCTATTTATATTAATATGTACTAGTGATGCCCGGTCCGCTTACAGGCCTTTGATTGGACATGTCGACTCTACCAAATATCTATAAAACTTCGACCGCAGCAGTCGGCCAAATTTAAAACTTTACGGGAACAGTTCTCACGGTCCCTGAAACATACCATAGTTCCTGAGTTTATCGATTAGATAGATAGATAGATAGATAGATAGATAGATAGATAGATAGATAGATAGATAGATAGATAGATAGATAGATAGATAGATAGATAGATAGATAGATAGATAGATAGATAGATAGATAGATAGATAGATAGATAGATAGATAGATAGATAGATTAGATAGATAGATAGATAGATAGATAGATAGATAGATAGATAGATAGATAGATAGATAGATAGATAGATAGATAGATATACGCCATAAAAATGTGGACTTATTGACTTTTTCAACCACATCCAAATATCAGTCGGCGATCTAGCCATCTATTGAAAACATAACAGTTCCTAATTGACTGACATTTTCATGTTTCTTGGTATTGTAAAAGAAAATTAATTTAATGCTTATAACTGGTTTAAAAATACAAGTACATAGATTGATTACATTTTATATAAATATGTTTATAAAAGAATTGGCCCTTAATTTGAACTACTCCCCATATATTAAGAAAAATTCGACAAACAATCACTGTCTAAAATTCTGAAGAGTTCGGTCCATAATTGATACAAGTCCCTGATCACCATGATGCTTATATTAATATCGTTGTATTAAGGTTTTTATGGTGGTTATATAAGATTAGAATAGTCGAATATAACACTATTCCTATTTGGGGATAAAATTCTCCTTCTAAAAATACTTATAAAAACTTTGCAAAGTTTCTTATAAAATGATCAAACGTAGTTTTTTTTACATTTTACATATTCCACGCAAACAGTTTTCGAATTTCAAGCAACAAGAGTAAGAGGTCCAATTAATTGATATTGATTTTCTAAAATTGTAAGAAAAGTATGCCAAAAATCAGTATACATCATGTTTAACAAATTAGATAGGCGTGCAGCAAGTGGTAGTTGAGTTAACAAAAATGTGTGTGTACATATTTATTTTGTGTGTAAACATGTTAGTAACACTATAGTGTGTTTGTGAATTAAGGAACAAGATGTTTTACGGTATAAGGATACACTAAACAAGTATATTAAGCAAATGTATACTGAAACGTATACGCTATAAGGAGGAAAAGGACATTTCTCTTACCA